CTCTGGGGGCAGCTCACAACCAAACGACGGCGACTTCCCGGCGGTGCCGACTTGGGCAGTAGACCCCTACGCGTTTAGCTTCGAAACGCTACGTTTAACAAACGTAAGAAGCGCTGAATTGCGGGGACTCCGCAGGGGGGAGTGAAGCAGGCTGCTGGTTTGTCACGCTGCGGTTTCATCCCTGCACTCATGGCGTGACTTAGCAGGCGTACCAGCCTGAAGGAAAGCTGCCTCGCGCACCCTGTGTTAACGAGGTTTTACTGCTGCTTGTTCTCCCTAGGCTCTAGCCAATATCGACATCGGCAGCCTCATCTGTAATGTAGGAGCTGGTGGTGGTGGTGCTCCAGCTGCAGCTGCTCCTGCTGGTGGTGCTGCGCCTGCGGGTGGTGCTGCCCCTGGTGAGTGGGCTTGTGTGTCCCCTGTAGTGATCTCCAGCTGGAAGAAATGCTTGATTAAAAACCTACCTGTTACCAGCTTGAGAGCCAGCCAGGCTCTTTCTCTTGCAATTTTAACGTGGTTTGTGCTTTGTAGTATGCGCGTGGGTGTTCTAGAGCCAAACAGACCTTCACCGTTTGAAGGGCTGGAATTGCACTTTCAGTCAGGGTACAGGATTAGTTATCTCAGAATTAAGACTGATCTTCCTGTCTATCATCCGGATCTCCTCGTGATGGCTAGAGGGGGGAGAGTGCCTGCTTTCTAGAGTTTCTCAGATTTGATAGGAATTAATTTTCAAGGCACAAAACCACTTCCCTAGTAGCGGAAGTACTATTCTCCCTGGGTTGTTAGCTTAGCTTGTTAGGATTGCTCAGGTCTTGCTTCTTCACATTACAGTCATTGTATATGAAGTCTCTTGTGGCATGTGACTTTTATGAGCTGATAAAGTAGAAAAATCCTTTCTTTTTTTTCTAGCTGAGGAGAAGAAAGAAGAGGAAAAGAAAGAAGAATCGGAGGAATCCGATGATGACATGGGCTTTGGTCTTTTTGACTAATGAGTTTTGTACCTGCCTGTAATAAAGAACACTTAAATGTACTCTTGTCTCTAACATGGACGCATGTGAAGGGGAGCGGATGAAGGGTGGCCAGGTTACCTGCAGGTACCGCAGCTGCTGTCATCGCGTGTTAATCTAGGGTTTTACAACTTCCCTTGTTGATTCTTCATACTCGCCATAGGTGTAGCACAGCAACAGTTAAGGCTCCTAATTGTATTCATAGTGTATGGACAAAGGTGGAATCACAGTGCACATGGGACGTGGTAACAGCTTGGCAGGTACAGGATGCGGTGTCACGTTTAGCGGAAGCGCTGTGACTTGGTTGGTACTGCAGGCAGGAGCTGCTTGTGCTGCAGCGTGTCCAGTTAGCGCTTCAGCAACAGTGCAGCTTCCAGTACCAGGTGAGTTAACCTGTTCAGGGGCAGCTAAAGGCCGTGGCACAGCAGGGACTGTGTGCATTTCACAGTGGAGGACAGTTGTTGAGCTGAAGAGTGGGGAAAAAGGCAGAAATTCCCAGCGGAAGGCCCTTGTTGGAGGCTAAAGCTGGGATACTGTTTATTCACGAGTAGGTATAATTTAAAAGCAGATTGAGTCTTGCAGCGCTAGGCACCAAGCCTAGGTTTGTAAGGTGTGTAAATTTTTTTGCCCTTCCAGAAAAAAAGTTAAGGAGCATCTCTGGAAACTGCTTTGAAGGGTGGGTGTGGAAGATTGTAAAAGTATGTATTTCTAAAATTACTTCTGAGCAGGACTTTTCCAGAGCAACTGAGCAAGGCAAGGGCTGTCTGTCTAATGTGTATTCTAAAATATTAAATGAAAACTATGCATTAGCAAAATGTTCTGGTGCGTAAGAAGGACTCTGAGGTTGTGTAGGAGGGGTTGTTCCACATCTAGACCAACAATGGATGCACTCTACACCTCATTCGTTTTTTGACAGATGCTGGCACCCATGGAGGAATGTAGTCTATGCAACCCCCTGCTGCTGCTGAGAGCTCTCCACTGAGCTTCCAAAACAGTTCCTGCAAACCACTCAACTACATTCCCCCACCCCTTCTTAAAGAAACCTTCCCCTAGGAAAACTGATTTTAAAAAGTCTAAAGGAATGTAAGGAGTGACACCAAGTAATTACAAGACACTTACACAGATGGTAACACTGTCTTGTTCCTGTGCTCCACAGTTGCGGGGGGGGGGGGGAACTGCTTTCTGGAAGACTACTTAAATCTTGGATTTCCTCCTTGGATGCCTACTGTTGCTCCGTAAGTCCTGCATAAGTGAATTCTTAAAAGCTTGTGGATTAGGGTAGGGGGAAAAACTCCAAGCAGAGAAAACTCACAGTGGTTTCCTCTGCAGTGCACGCACACACAGAAGAATATACCCAGAATTTCACCGGTAACACCTTTTTAATAGGTCAAAGTAACTGTACAGTTCATTATATTCTTCCTGAGAATAATTTATATCCCTCAACAGCAAAAAGGGAGTGTGGTTTTTATTTTAACAGAACAGATGGCATAACTGGAAAACCAAGGAAAATCTAATTACACTGCTCTACCGTAACTCCTCCCAGGCAAGATAGACAAAAGGATGGGTTAGTTAACTACAGTGGGTTTAAAATATTCAACATGGCTTTAATCTGTCTTTATAAATTATATAAAAAATGGGGGACATGAATGGTTACAGAACTCCTCTAAATGCAGCTCTGAATTGCTCTGGTACAAAGCAGCATTTTTGCTTCCAAGGAAAACAACGTTGCTACAAAAGAACTGGCACATTATTCTGGTGGAAAAGATGAGAGTTTTCAGTTGTGTTCTACAGCTAGTTCCAAACAAATGCTTCACACATTCACATAAAAGTAAAAGGCAGGAAGATGAAGAGGGCTTTAGTTTTGTCTTGAAATGACTGAAGTCTTGAAAATATAGCTTTTTATTCTTTCTCTGTAAATCGTGATTAGCATATTGCGACGTAAGTGTTCTAATAAAAAAATTCCAGTCTGGATAGTTCATATACTGTGGGCAAGAATTCTCAGCCCTGAGGTTTCCCCGAATTCTTCACTTCACAATATCTTTCTCTGATCTGTTAATCGGACAGTTCTGGCTCCGAGACTGTAACCCTGTGGCAGCTCTAGGCTAAGCGTGTCCCATGCGATGGTATAAAACCGAAGCGCGCTCCATAGCCGTGATTTCCCGAGGACTTCTGTACAAACTTCATTGTGTGATAATGCCACTTTCTGAATCCCAGACCAGCTTGGCTTTATGGTAAAAACTTGGTTAAGCTTTTGTAATGAGAGAGAACCAACAGCTGTCAGTCAGGTCTGCTGAAGCAAGAGGCGCTGGAAAGCCAGGACTACACTGGGTTAATCCTCACTGCTGGTGGAAGGTGAAATAACATCCTTTCGCAAGCAGAATTCTTAGGCTGATGAAGCTCTTCCCTCAGTACTTAGTGTGGTCTGGACTGACTGATCATTTTCAGTCTGGCTTGATCAATAACATCCAGCAAGTTTTTGGCATCCACAGCCAGAGCGTGAGCAGCCGTCAGCATTTGCTTTTTGTACTCCTGCTGCAGGCTGGTCATGACATACTGCTGTGCCAGTTTCATCTTGTTAATGAGCTCGGCCAAGTCCGAGTTCAGCAGCTTCTGTGCCATCTCAATCTGGAACAAGAAGATTCAGTCAACTCTGTTAAGTCGTTAGAAGCACTGCGCTCGTGACAGCGATACTACAGAGCAACGGCACTAGCCACCCTCAGCAGCCCCTGCTTGAGATTTCTGATTGAGGCTGGGGCTGTTTCTGTGGACGCCACGTGGAGCTGATGGAATTTTGGCACCTGCTGCTCTATGCTGTGTGGAGATCAAGAGCAGCCTTGTCAGCTGCTGAGCCGCCCACATGTAAACAGCACCGAGACCCAAATCACTGGTAAGGCATTTTAACCCAGGTCTAAGAATTCACACCTTTTTCTAGGTTTCCAGGTCCCTATTATCATCACCCTTTTTATTACTATTATTAAAGTAGCTCTAAAGCAGTAAAAAATAAAACGGGTCGAGAAGCCAGATACAGGTTACTTATAGCTAAAGTCAGGATGATTCTCCAAGATGGCACTTAAAAGAACCATTCTCTGGCTTTCTCATTATCGCACTCATTCAAGGTTTTGGAGGAAAACAGTTTTACTCATGAACTTCACTGAAAGATCTCAGTCACTTCTCATCCAGAACTAGGTTATTACGGGATATCTCATCAAAACCTTCCAGCTGCACCAAGCTATGCTCAATTACCTGTTTAATGACTTTGCGTGCGAGCTGTAGTTTAATGAAGGATTAAACTTGCACTAAGAAGTGCCGTGTAAGCACTGCTAACAGTTTTTATGTCAACTTCACATGTGCGTGTCGTATGCTCTTCAATTACATCCAGTTCGAATGTCTTCACTTAAGTCAATACAAGCCTACGTCAACACAGCAATCAGATTCTAATAAAATTAATTTCATGAAGAATTATAACCCAAGAGTTCACACTGCTTAGTGAGCCAAATCATGTCCAGATAGCTGTCCTGGCTGGGGCTAACTTGAAACATAATAGACTGAGCATCAGGTGAGGGGAGCTCTACATACCTCTCTGTGGGTGCTTGCAGGAAGCACGGGGAGGGTCTCATCTACTGTTGCCAGTAAGGTTCTTAACGCCAAACCAACCTCCTAAGAAAAAAAAAAAAAATTAAGAAAATAAAGTTTAACAACTTGCAGTGAATGGATGAGAGACTTGTAGCCGGAGTGCAGGAAGCAACCGATACACTTAATCCCTCATCTGGATAAGAAGGGAGTTAGAACAGGGCTGAGGGACTTTGAAAACCCCACTTGCAATTCCATGTTTCACCATCAAAACAAAATGCCAAATGGTTAATTTAAAAAAAAGGTCTTTTTAAAAAGTGAAATGTAGAGAAGATAGCGCACAACTCGCTGCCCCTGGATAAGCGCAGGCAAGCTGGGGAATAAAAGCACCGTTTCCCACAATACTGTTAACAGTATCCAACGCTCCAGCACTCTGACCACAAGTTACCCCGCCTGCACACATAAAAAGCTTTTCTAATTCCAATGTTCCAGAAAGTTTCTCCTGCGCCACTTGAAGACCTCATTCAGGAGAGAACTAAACACTGATTTTAGGAATCGCCTCCATACCTTCACCATAGGTACATACTCCTCTGGTGGAGCTGGCTGTATTTTACTGGACATTTCTATGACCGCTTTCACCAGCCCAGTTACATTCTCGTAGACTTTGTCGTTGGAGCGGTCCAGGTTGGCCGTAGGAGGAGGGCTGATTTCCTGCGGCTGAATCTGGAAGCAGAGAGGGGTTGTTTAACCTCCTGTGCCCAGCAGATGGGGCTCAGCAACTTCCCAACCGCCGGGAAGGTCTCATATTTGCAACAGCCCCCCACCCGGTCCCGCTGGGTCCCCTGTCCTGGCTGAGCACACTCACTCCTGGATCTGAAGGAAGTTTCCTTTAGTTCTGACTGAATCTGATCTGTGAAATGACACTGGGGAATTTTTACCAGGATTTCCCTGAAGAGCTTCCAGTACTTCCCACAACAGAGAAGAAAATAATTTGAGGAACGAGGAGTACAGAGTACTTGACACGTCTAAGTGGTTCACTACTGATGGACAAGTTCCACTGCTAAGGCAACAGGTTTCAGGTCCCTCATTCGAGAAAGTTGTTTTGTGCTCCAAAACAATGTCAGAGTACACAGTTAACATACTGATACGGTAAAGAGAGAATATTATTGTTTTGTTAGTGAAAATTCACAGCAGATTAACAAAAATGGTGTCACCAGTACAGGTGGGAAACACTGAATGTTTTCATACCGTTTGTTTCCAATAGATCAGAAAAAAAACAATAGGATAAAAATCCTGTAGTCCTTACTCAAGCAAAACTTCCACTGAGTCAGATCTGTCCAGAGTTAAATCCCAACACAGACCAAAATAATCCTGGGTCAGAAAAGAAACAAACTTTGAAAACTTCCTCTGTAAGGTCCCCAGTATCTCTGCTCCTGAACTGTAAAACTACAAG